CAGAGCATCCTTGCTCCCTGCCTTGCCCTGCATCTCTCCCTTGCTCCCACGAGCCCAGCTGGGGTCCTGGTTCCTCCACCCCGACTCAGAGTCACAGGCATGGGGAACAAACCTGCTGTCCCCTGGCAGATCCCTCCTTTATCTGTGGGCAGGCTGCCCCCAGACAGGCTTCCAGGGCATTCAGGCAGTGGGCAAACAGCCTCTCTGCCCGCTGCAGGCAGGAGAATGGGATGCTGTGTCCCTAGAACATCCTCGGGGCACTGGCATCCTCCAGCACCCCTCAGCACCCCCCTGGCACCCAGCTCAAAAAGGCAGGACCCCCCTGCTAAAAATAAAAAAAAAGTGGGACACAGGCTTGAAATTTTTCATTCAGGGAAATATTTCTGCAAAGGAGCCGCTTTAGGTTTATTCTACAAGGGATACATTTTTCCGTGTTATTTTTTAATTTTCTCTCTCTCTTTCTCTCTCTCTCTCTCTTTTTTTTTTTTTTAATAGTAAAATGGGCTGATGGTTCTTTTAACTTTCAGTAATTTGTGGAAATTAAAAAAAAAAAAAAAAGAAAATCATTTGCAGCGCGACCCAGATTTAAATGGCACTCTGAAATGGATGTCGCCTGGCTTTGTTTTTTTTTACCTTTTTTTTTTTTTATGAACTCACTCCCAGAATGGTGAAAAATCTCTCAAATCTAGATCATGAAAGTGTAATGAATTGTTTTCCTGATTTTTTAAATGTTCCTGACAAATAATTATTCTGTATCTGAAAGGAGATTAAAATAATCTTCGTTTTACACGTAGCTCACAGAGGCATATTTTACCATTGGAAAATAAAGTAAAATAGTAAAAGTTAAATAAACCAGAGAGACTGAAAATATATAAATTAGTAAAAAGGTGGAATCAGCTCTTTCCTCAGGTTCATGTGTGAAAAAAGGCATTTTTATATCTTGCCTGAGCTAAGACTATTGCTGCCTGCTTTCAGAAGTGGTTTCTTCCCTTGAATTAACTACCAAGGTAGTAAAGATACAGTATTTATAAGCCAAAAAATAAAGCAGGCACAATTTATTAAACAGCTACAATGTGACAATAAATAATTTTAATGTCAATCAAAATCGGATTATTGTCACTGAAATTTGGATTGAAAAGATAAAAGCCTGAAAGGAAGAATTGAAATCCAACACTGGAGACGATTCCAATATCTTTGTTCCTTGCAATAAATATTTTGGGTGAGAGTTTAAACCAGCTCATTCTTAATTTGGGGGGAAAAAAGGTTGGCTGTGGTAGACTTTTAAGAAATATACTAAGAAAATAAATTCATGTTTGGGATTGGTGAGAAGAGCTTTTTTTTCTTGTGAGAAATAAAACAATTTCATTTTATTGTATTTTTTAAAAAACTGCTTGGGTTTTAATTTTCTTTTCAGTGTCAGGCAGTGGCCAGAGAGGGATGCTTTTCTTGACCCAGTGAATATTCCTCCTTCTTCCTCCTATTTTGGAAAACCCAAACCAGAACCTCTTGAATTAAAATCAGGCAGAGCAGCCCGTGATTTGAGACTGGAATTTTTTTTGGTGCAGCCTCACTCCAAAGGCCCAGGGAGCCCTGGGTGCTGTGGGGTGCTCTGTCCCCATCAGCCCCAGCCCCAACTCCCTGCCTGCCCTGCTGGGCCTTGGGGACAAGGGCCCCCTCCCAAAACCCTCTCTGCAACATTCCCCTTTGCTCCCAGGGATATTCACAGGCGTAGTATGTGCATCCAGGGTGAAAAAGCCCTTTCTCAGGGTGGTAAAACCCGCAGTAATTCTCCTGGTGGGGAGCAGGGCATGTAGGAGAGTGGAGGCCAAAGACACAGCTCTGGGAGATACATCCTCACCGCCTATTTTTTAACCCCAAAATGAGGATGATGAGGATGGGGTGCAGGCAGGGCTTCTGGCCTCTGCTGGATTCCCCTGAGGGGCTGAGACCCTCTGGGCAGGAGAAGGGTCCCTTTCTGACAGCCTTGCCCAGCTGCCTGCCTTGGCACCGAGTTCAAACCGTGCCTGGAGCGGCAAACATTCAACTGGAGTGGCCGAGGCAGGAACACTCCGTGTGTCTCTAGGGCAACGTGCTCGCTCTGCATCCCAATAATGCCCAATCCCTCCTCGAGACAAAGCTCCCAATTGTTTCTACAGGGATTTAGGTGCACGGTATAAATAAATATGCATATTTATCTATATTTAAAGGTGGGCATGTGCTCACCAAATTAATATCCGATATTGGTGTAAAGGCAGGGTGTCAGAACACGCAGGGATGGAGGTGTGGGCTAGGAGTGGGATGTCTAAGTTTGTCCCCAGAGCGGCTGATGGATGGACAAGGAGGGGGCCGGGTGGTTTTAATCAGCATGTGTGTGTGTGTGACAATAGTTGGGTGAGGAAGGGGACCTGACACCGGCATCCTTGATTTGTTATAAATCACACACATAAAAATTGGGGGGGGAGGAAATTAAATCTTGGGGATCGCAGTGCTTCTAGTGCCAACTCAATCCCCAAGCTGGAACAAAGCTTTGCCAGCCCTGAAATAAATGATGCTTCACCTAATGGCTCTTATCCCTTCCCCACTGCCTCCGACCAGGCAGCTTTGGGGTTTTAACGATGCCAATGTGATGAGAAGCAACGTCTGGGCCTGGTGCTGATTTTTACCAGCAAAGGTAACCCTGCCAGGTGGGGTGGAGGCCCTGGGGGACTCGTGGTGGGGAGGGGAGGCTCATCCCCATGTCCCCAGGTCCCCGCTCGGCCGTGGCTCCGCTGATGCTCCGCAGCCGCCGGGCTCCTCTCTCTGCTCAATTGCACAGCGCGCAAATGGAATCGCTCTCCTCGCTGTGTTTGTGGCCATGGGAGTGGAAGAATTACATTGGGCTGAAAATAGTATTTACTTTTACTGATTGAAAAATAGATGTTAGGAAAAAAAAAATAAAAAAAAAAAGCAAAAGCAGGAATTGAAACTATAATTACAACAAACCATATGTAAACTCCCAGGTAAACACTGATTATACTGTGTCATTTCAGCCAGACTTTATTAGCGAGGGAAGAACAGAATCTTCTTTCTCTCTCCGCCCGCGGCGGATGCAGCACGCAGGATCCCACTGCCTGCCATTTGCAGAACACTTTTCACCCTAAAAATTCTCAGGTTTGTGGCCTGATCCTGCCTAGCTCTCATGAGCTGCGTTCCCTAGATTAACTGTGCCATTCCCCTCCCGTGGCTGCACAGTGGAGCTCCCAGGGAGCTGCTGTGGGTGCAGGTCTGAGCTGCCCCCTGGCACATCCTCTTCTTTGGGGAGAGGCAGGGAAGGGACTGGAGTGTGCCAGGGAAAGAGAAACTCAGGGTGTGGGACCCAGACTGCTCACTCCTACAGCGTCTGGGATGGGATGGGAGGGATGAGATGCCCCAGCTGCAGAATCCCCTTTTTCTCGGGCAGTTCACAGGCCCGGCTGCAGGAGGACAGGGCTGGTTGGATCCATCCGTGGAGGAAAGCTGGAGGAGATGAGTGGCTGCAGCCTTGCCAGGCCCTTTGCTTGCTCCCTAGCAATGGAGCCAGACCCCCTTTGTTGGGAGCTACATCCCCAGTGCCCAACACCCCAAATGCAGGAAAGGAGCATGATTGGAGTATTATCCCTGGACATCTGGGTTACACAGCATCCTCCTCACTCACTGCCACGGCACAAGGTCCCACAAAGCCTCCAACATCTCTCCTCCCTGCCATGTCTGGTGGAGACAGAGCAGTGCCATCATGACATGTCAGTGTCCACTGTGTCAGTCTCAGGACACCCCAGAGCAGTTGCAGCATCCCCTCCTCTGCCCTGCCGTGCCAGAGTCACCCAGCAGCACTGTCCCCTTCGGATGAATATTTGGGGAACTCTTGCCGCAGTTCCCTTGCGGGGTGGATGAGGGGAGATGGGAACGGAGGGGAAGAAGGAAACCACGAGCAGCGTGGGGAACGCCAGGTATCCTCCTTACACAACGGGGCCGAGGGCTCGGCGGCCTTACAGCTTTGCCATAGTGGCACCCTGTGGCAAAACGCATTACTACAGCTGGCAGCCAAACCGGAGGGGACACAGCCCGGGGGCCTCGCCCTGGGGGCTCGCACCCTGCGCGGACACACACGCAGGGATGGGATGCGGGGGATGAACAGCCGGGGGTGCCCTCCGCCCTGACATCCCATCCCGTGTGGCGGTCCCACCCATCTCCGGGGGTCAGCGGGATGCTCATCCAGCCCGGACATCCCCAGGGATGGGGCTGGAGCCCGGGCAGGCTCGCTGGCCATCGCACGCCGCTGGCTTGGGGCTTTCTGGCGGCACCGAGGGGCCGGGCTGTGCGGTGATGGGGAGCGGGGTGTGTGCGTGTGCTGGTTCTCTCCTCCCGGAGCAGACCCCGAGTGACGGAGCGAGCTCTTTGTCTGCCTTCGCCTGCCTGTCACGGCTCCCGGCGTTTCCCAGCCACCTTGCACGGCGCGCAGCCACTTTGGCAGGAGCTGTCTCGGAATTTTAATGCAGCTGATTAACGCGCCGCGGTGTGATCGTGGAGCCAGCCGTACCCCTTCCCCAGCCCTGCTTTTTGGGGGAATGAATAACCAAACCCAGCCAGGCACCCTCGCTCACGGTGCCTCATCCTGCTCTGAACTGAGCTGGAGAATGGGACTGGAGGCAGGAGGCGATCCCAAAGGATCCCAGAAAGCTGAGGGGTGTGACAGAGATGCCTCTGCCATCCTGGCACACCGGTGACAGATGTGGTTTTGGGGCTGGCACAGGGATGTGCCAGGGGTTGTGACACACAGGGAGTTTGGGGAAGGGTCACCTCTCCCGCTGGGAGCAAGGGTGAGCAGTGGAAAAGTCCAGGCAGGGGAGAGGGTGGAGAGGAAGCCTGAGTGTGGAGCAGGGAGAAGATGGCTGAGCAGATCTCTGTGCCACCCAGGAGATGATGAGGGGGAGTTATTGACACAGAGGACACACTGCTAAATTTTCAATCTGTCCCTTTCTTAGGTGGTGTTGACAGAAGAAGATGGGTAGGAGATTTCAATGGCAGGCACACGTGTCCCAGGAGAGGGTGAGACACCAACAGAGATGGAGCAAGAAATGAGCCTTGGACAGCTGCAGGAGAGAAACCCAAACCTTCTCTGGAAAGTAGGGTCACCTGCAGGCTGGGGACACCTTATGAAACACCCATCCCTCCAGACATGTGTGAGCATCAAGCAGCCACCAGGAGCTGGCATGGGTCCCATGGGCACTGGGAAAGGTGCAGAGCACAGCAATAAGGGTGGCAGGTGCCACTCAGGACCCACCTTTCTGCTGGGATGTGCCTATGGATAGAAGGGGAAATGTGAAAGAGACAATGGGGAATCAAGGGAACACAGCAGCACCTAAATGAAGGGGTGAAGACTGAACGTGTGAAACAAAAGTGGGGAGAAGATCCACAGCGGGAGCATCTCCTTCAGAGGGAGATGATTTCAGAGGGGTTGTGAGTGTTTGAGCCAGCTCAGGATTTTTCTGGGAAAGGTTAGGCGGGTGTTTCTAGCCAGCTCTGTTGGGGATGGCTGCAATGTTTATTCACGGTGGGGAAGGAAGGGACCAGCTGACTTTTAGATCCCCAAAAGCATAAAGAGTGGGCCCTTTTCTGTGATCATGGACAATGATTGTACTACTTCACCTCAGGGCTTTTCAGATGTCAGCCAAGTCCCAACAAATTAAATGATGAAGAAAGGGGGAATAAACCCCAATGCAAGCAAGGCAGCACAATTTCCTCCCCTGCCTTAGGGCTGCCCTTACTAAAAGCTCATCTGATCCTACATTTGGGACTGAAAGGTGAACTCCAAATGCAGAGCAAACATCCCTTTATGGGGTCTCTCTTTTCACCCTTAGAACAGAGACCTCCCCATTTCCACAGCTGCTGGGTGCAGCCTCTTGGTGCCACCATCTCAGCCTTTTGTCCCAAGCAAGATCTTCCTATGGGAAGGCAATTTTATTCCCATGCACCTTCCCTGGTTCTCTTTGGGTCTGTGTCCCCTCTCCAGCATCCCTTCACCCTATTAATATCCTTTGACTGTCCTCACACCTGCAGACAATCTGGTCCCCAACCACCTCCACCTCCCCCCTTCCTCAAAAGCTTCCCTCAGCTGTCTTTAAGTCGTAGCTGAAATCTGTGGTATGTAGGAGGAGAAATTCAGTCTGACAGCAGTTTAAAACACCGCACTACTTGGCAGATTTAAATGCTATTTTAAATATAAGCTATGACACAACGGACAAAAATAGCATTGAAAATACCCTGTCATGTTCCATATTGCGAGGAATAGGGAAGCAGACCAGGCTAGAAAGGAGCAGAGAGAGGGGCCAGATGGAGAGGAGAGGTTATTTTGTTTGTTTTAAAGAAACTGGATAAATGTATTTTGTATGTGACTGAGTAAATGTGTTTTATACAGCAACGAGCCAAAAAAAAAAATAAACCTTCTCATGAAAAATCTACATATTTTATTTGATGTGGGATCTGCCAAAGCAGGTTTGCTGCTGAGAGGATATATTTGTTATCAGGTTGTTTTGGAGATGCTCAACACCAGCAGCCACCAGCTACTGAAGACCACTTCATCTCTGCTGAATCTTTTTCTTCCCTTTATTTGTTTATGTTTTAATAGGAATTTGCTCTTTTCAAAAAAAAAAAAAAAAAAAAAGAAAGAAAAAGACATTCCAAATACCTGGAAGTGACTTTTTACCTGTGACTCCCAGCTTGGTGACCCTGCACTGGAGGAGTTGATGGATTGCAGAGCCTGGCAGGGAGTGTCCCTGCAGGGTCAGCCCGTGGGACCAGGCAGGCTGAGCCACCTCTGATTGCCCAAGGGGCCTGGGTGTGTGCCTGGGACATCCTGGGACGTCCTGGGATGCTGCTGACCCTGCAGCATCGTTGCTTTCTGGCATGGGTAGGAAACATCAGGAGCATCTGGGCCCTGAAGCTGCAGGGCTGCAAGGAGAGGTTTCTTCATCATTTTTCCTGAATGCAACCACTGCTCCAAGCTGCTCTCTCATCACAGCATCTTCTTCCCCACCGCTCCCCACACTCTGTCTTACAGGGAAGGACAAATATCTGTCCACTCTTTGGGTTTGTCTCCTGGGGCTGGGTTTTGGCTCCTTCCAGTCCCCCCAGTATAACCAGCAGTAAATCTGGTCATGAGAATGACCTGAGGAGAGTGCAAGAGACAGGGGAGAAGTCAGAATGTGAGCAAGTCTCAGCTGCAGCACCATGAGATAAATGGAAAGCCTGGAGACAAGGGCTGGTGTTCCACACTAGACTGTCCCAACCTGGGGACAGGCACAGCACTGGCACTCATGGGACAGAGGTGCCAGATGCCAGCTGTGTCCCTAAAATGGGGCAGAATGAGAGGTTCACTCCCAGTTCAGGATCTGAGCAGCTCTGCCTCTGGCTGCCTGACTGCAATAGCAATTGCCCCTCTTTTGCTGGGGTAAGGATTTGGTCCTGACAACACCTCACAGCACAATTTACCAGGGTGGCTGAGCTGCCAGGGCTCTGATGAACACCCTGGCAGGAATTCAGGGGCTCCCCAAGCCTCCTGCATCCACTGCTAATCCAGCTGCAGCAGCTGAAACTAGGGGCAAAGACACAGAGTGAAATATTTTAGCTATCATCTTAAAAAGGTCTTTTTTATTTTAAACCCAACATGTTATTATAATGGAAACACACAATTTGAAGAGCTTAACAGAACAGTTCAATGAAGCCAGGTTAGCATTAGAAATCAAAGACTGAGATCTTTCAACCCCTTAAAAATCACCATGGCCTGGGAAAATATGCCCCCCCCCAGGCAGATTTCTCTGACCATCCAGTGGTGGATGCATAAAAAGCTTTTTATTAGGAGAGAGAACAGCCCTGAATCTGTGCTCCATTCTCACATCTGGGTGCCCACTCCCAGCCAGGGGCTCGTGGCTCCTCCTGAACCCTTGGGGTTCCTGTGGGCACTCTGGAAGGAAGGGACACCTCAGGCACTGCTCACATCAGGAACAGCATCACTGCTCACAGTGCCACGAAGTCCGTGGCCTTTTCTGTCTCTGGACTAAGGCACTGGCAGAGCAGGGCACCCACACCTCCACATCTTAATAAAGACTTTTAACACTCCCAGTTGCCCTGCCTGCTGCAGGGCAGAGTCAATAGCAGCAGTTTCAGCATGGAGTCTGGCTCTACACCTGTGCCAAGTGGGATGTACCCAGCTCTCAGCCTTGCAGAGGGGGCTGTGTACCCTCCCCAACACCTCCCTGTGCATACAGAAACCCAGAACTAGAGGGAAACAGGAGGAACCCTGATGAGAGGTGAAGGAAAACTCCTGGTAGGGCCAAAAGAGGCTTTGCTGGGCTACAGACTGAGTAGCATCACTGCTGCCAGAGCTGGGAGCTCGCCTCACCAGTGATTTTCATGCCCCACTCAGAAAAGCAGAACCATCGCTCTGTAAAAGCAGCTCTGTTGTGCTTCTTTTTTATTTCAGATGAAAATAAAAGCATTTCAGTGTCCTTTGATCTGCCTCACTTCCTTACTGACACATTCAGGATGCTCACAAGCATTTTGGTGTGGTGGGTCCCCATACCTCAGAGAGGTCCCAAGATTCCCTGGGGAATTGCATCCATGCCAGTACAACCAGCAGCAGAGAAGCAAAGCAAGGATGGGATGTGGCCTCAGCCTCCCTGCTTTTTCCCTGGCTGTCACCCCTGCTGCAGTGCAAGCCTCAGGGTGCAGAGTTACTGATGCTCAGGTGAGGCAGCTCCGGGTACTCCGGGCTCCTGCCCACCTGCAGCAGGTATTGCAGGGCCAGAGCTGCTCGCTGGAGTGGTGGCATTGCAGTCCTGCCTCCTCTCACCGCCCTGCCCAGCTGCGACAGCAGCTCAGCTCCCTCCCTTGCTCTTTGTTAACCACTGAATTCATCTGACAACTCAAAGAGAGAGAGAGAGAGGGGAGAGACCCTGCGGCCCGCCGGCGCGGTTCCCCGGCTCCCCCTCTGCCCTCATTTGCAATGCTTGAGTGGGGATTTCTCTATTTACTAAGCTAACAATGTGGGTTCCCAGGGCCTGGGCTGATGATGACATCCCGGCGCTGGTGGGTGGTGGGGCCGGGGGGGCGGTGAGGGCTGGGGGGGATTGCATAATGCCGAGGCAGGCGTGGGAAACCACAGCATCTGCGAGAAAAGTCTCTGCCAGCCTCTTTGAGCATGGCTCAAAGGGCTCCGGGGGAAGCCACGGGGCACGGGGAGCCCTGGGGACCGGGCGGCGAGGGGAGATGCTCAAACCCGCATCTCACCGGCACGGCCCCGCTGCCACCGCCTCCGTCCCCGGAAGGGTTAACGCGGGCTGCCACGGGTCTGCTCATTACAGGGTTAAGGGGGAGATGGCACTTGCAAATCCCTCAATTACCCGGGCCAGAAGGCTGCTCAGGAAGAGCTTTATTAACGGTTGCCGTCTTCATTAACCGCTTCTCCACAGCTGCCTAATTACGGCCGCCATTAGGCTCGCTGGGTCTCCCCACCACCGCCCTGATCCCCGGCCCCCTGATTAACCTTAATTACACCTCCATCCTCGGAACGGGGCGCTCACCTGAGCGGGGCCGCGGCCAGGGGCTCGGGGCTGCCTAATTGCGGGCGAGCCCGGCGGGGCGGCGCGGGGAGGGGGCCGGGGCCGTGGCCAGGCGCCCGCCGCACGCCAGATGTTCGCTGCTGAAAAGGCGAGGGCTGCCCTCGCACTGAGCTAAGCGGTGGCAATGAGATCGGTAGCAGGGCATTGAGGGAGGCGGTGAAAGGGTTTCCCACCTGAGCCGATGGGGCTCTGCTGGGAGGAGAACGGGGCCTGCCGGCGAGGGCAGGCAGAGGGTGAGCGTGGGGAGATGCTGTGGGTGCTGCTGCTTGTCCCCCCAGAGCTCATCCCCGCCAGGAGACTCAGCATCCTTGGAATGATGTGGTTTGGAACTAGATGATCTTTAAGGTCCTTTCCAACCCAGACCTTTGTACGATGATCCCTCTGGGTTTCTCCCCAGCCCTGTTCCTTTCCGGTTAGGCTAAGGGATGTCTGGGGGCTGGATGCAGCACACGTGGGTACTAGTGCCCGGATGCGGCTCTACCGTGCACGCCCAAGCTCAGCGTTTCAGGCAAGGCCACAGATGCTACGGAGGGTAGCAGAGATCCCACTGCCCTCCAGCCCTGCTGTCCCCAGGATGCCACCACTGCTCCAGGACAGCCCCAGAGTGATGTGCCACCCCAAACCACCTTCTTTCACAAAGAAGATGCAGCTGCTTTTTCCCTCTCTCTCACTGAACAGGGTGAAGCTCAGCTCCTCAAGCACAGGGAAAATGGAGCTGCTTTCTCCCTCTCCCTCGAGATGCCCCTACCACCTTCTTCCCCCTCCTCACCAGACACCTCCCTTTTGGGAGAAAAAAAAAAAAAGATAATAAAGTTCTTATTTCCACCACATTTGCCATTTCCTGGTCTAAGTAAAGAGTGTCATAAGAGTGACAAGCTAAAAGCCACTGATTACTGTGGATTCATGGCATTTATTCTCCTCGTGAAAAGAGCAAACATCAGAAATAATGTGGTCCGGCCTGCCTCGGAGCCTAACCCTGCAATTAATCAGCATTCATGTGCAGAAGGTGCACGAGCATCTGATATGTAGAGAGGGAGTAATTAAAGGCAGATGCAATCTCTGCTTCCCGCAGGCCTGGGGGAGGTAACCACGCACCCCCCTCATTGGGGTGCAGCCCCCCAAAACCAGCGCTGCTCCCCCTTTCCCTCGGAGCAGCCGCTCCCCTTGTCCCGTTCGCCTTGGCCGGGTGCCCGGGCCCGGCTCCGCTGCTCGGGGCGAGCGGGCCGGCGGCGGCTCTGCCTCGCTCGGCTCTCGGCACAGCGAGCAGGAGCGCTGGGGATGCGCTATTTAGGCGAGCTTCCGATGCCTTGAACCCTGACATGGCTCGGTGACACCGCGAGGTCCCCGGAGAGGGGGATTGCTGCGGGTTGGAGCTTGCCCGGGACTATCACTGGCCTCCTCCCGCCGGGGTCTGCCCCGCTGCTCCCGCTGATCCTGTCGAGACCTTTAATCCGTGGGGGATCAGCAAATTAATCCACTAAAGCATGAAGGGCCTGAGCTGTGTTTAATCGCTCCCTTTTGTGTCAGGGGACGGCTAAATGACCATACAAGAGAAAAACCCACAGAGGGGTCAGAGGGGAGGCGGTGGGCGATTAACCCCCGTCACCTCCCTCCAGGCTGCGGCGCGGGGTGAGACGGGGCCGAGCCCGCAGCCGCCGGTCCCGGCACCAGTTGAGCCGGTGTCCCCTCGTGCCCCGACAGCCCCTGTCACCCATCGGGGGTGGCACTGCTGCCCACAGCCCCCCCAGACGATGGGAGCTACCCCAACCGCGGACAGGATGAGCCTTCCGAGGTCTCAACCTGGCTCCCAGCAGACAAGATGTTATCACGGCAATTACCCC